GTGTGTGTGTGTGTGTGTGTGTGTGAGAAGTGTCCCAGTTTGGGTTCTAATTATCGCAGCAGAATGTTGGTCAGCATCTGTCAGAGCAGATGACACACTGAAAGGGAAAATCAATCGTTTTTAGATGGAGAAAGTTGCACAGAGGCAGGTGAAGTCTGCGGGCTTGTATTAGGAAGATGGAAGAATATAACCCACTGCATTTCACGACAGCTTAAATTCAAGATGGCTGCTGCAGCCATATCTTTAAAGATGTGAAACTGCTCATCGCATGTGTTGAGGATGACTCTCAGCTACAACCTGACTTATTTTAAGCTGAATATCTATAAAACTGATTTAGTTAGGCGTTTTTTTGTGTTAGCTAATATTGATTTCCTGCTGGAAAATGAGCTGATGGTAATTTATTCAGTTCATTCGCTGATTAATTTCAAAGCATTTCATTGAAAAAGGTGCAATGATTCATAAGACATTTTGCTAAGAGGCAAACTCACTTGATGCCAACAATTAAAACAAGTTTTAGGCTAAAGATCTTGCACAATAAGTACAGCTGAGATTATACATTAGGAATGACTTTCAGCTAAATGGCTGTAGAAATGGCTGAGATATGGCTGTGGTAGTCACCTTAAATTTGTCTAACTCCAAAAGGTACATCCAATAATTACTTTATGAGAGTTTCTTTCGAATTCATTGAGTGAGATATTTTGCTAACACAAAGAGATGATTCCAAAAGTTAATGTTAAAAGTTTTAAACACAGACCTCGCACTAACAGTTATTGAGAACATACGTTGTAGATTACTCTCAGAGCATACCAAATTTTAGCTCAGTGTCTGAAAAATTAACCGTTACAGTCAATTTAGTTTGAGCTAAAATTGCTTAGCTGCGGCAGCCATCTTGGATTGGATTGTCTCTAAAAGTTTATCCGTAGTGCAAGTTTATCCAATGATTATTTTCTGAACGTTTCATTAAAAATGTTCAGGGATTCGTGAGTAATTTTCAAACACTGCAGACACACAGACACAGGCCAAAACATTAAGGCCCACTTTTGCCTTCAGCGTAGTCATAAATAAATGATATTTTAAGAAAAGCAGTTGTTTAAAGACGCGGCAGAGTAATCAGTCTTTGAGGTAATCACAGGGATTGCCTACTCAGGTTCAGCTCATGAAAATAGAGCGGAAAGAAGGTCAGAGAGAGCAAAGCCTGAGACAGACAGACAGACAGAGAGAGAGACAGAGAGACAGAGAGAGAGGGAGGGAGAGAGAGAGAGAGAATCAGAGGAGGCAATTTAATTTCCAGCAGTTGCCAAAACAATACTAATCAATACAATACACTCCGTTCCCCTCATCCCAGTTCTGCCTCTCTGTCTGTTTCTGTATGTCTCAGAAACACTCTCTTAAATCATTTTCTGTTCAGTTCAGGGGCAGCGAGTTTGATCCAGTGGAGACAGAGGTGAAAAAAAACCCTGCTCTGATCTAACACAGTCTTCAACAGAGACCCAAAGGTGGTTGAGTTTAATGGGTGGAGTTAGAGTGAGATAACTGGAAATACACAGGAGAGATGCACAGCAGAGTGAGAACATGCACGACAGAATATTTAGCACATTAAAAACACAAACCCAAAGACAGGTGAGGCGATACATTATTTTGTTGAAGGGGTGATTGAAAAACGCATGTGCAGTTTCTAATTTTAACAGACTGTGTGTTTTTAGAACAATGACTCTCTGCTCAGCTTGAAGCATGAATACACAGAAAATACACAAGACTGCCCTCTAGTGGTCACAACTTGTAACAAACTGCTTGAAAAGTACATTCACCTGATTGTGTTACTTTGAAGTTTTGAAGTAACATACCCTTCTTCAGTATTTGCATTTAACAGTGTTAATTTAGAAAACTGTACAAATTACAGATCTTCATCAGATATAACTTGAAAACCCGTACAATTAACATCCGATGATGGCATACATTAACTACAATAAAATGTTACAGATTATAAACTGTGCTTTTGTAAGAGTGAAACGTTACTTTTTGAAGTAAATCAACTGCTTTAAATGAATCCATCAGCACAACATATGCTTGACCACGTTTGGCACAATTATATCAAATTCTGTTCTTTATTTGAGTATTTCCAGTTTGAAACCTGGTCTTTTTTCAGTCTGTCCAGATTCTCAGCAAACAAGAAGTGCTTATCAAGTGAAACTGGAGTTTTATTATTGCCACTGCCGAAGGTGAAAGGATGATCATGCGTATGCGTGTGTGGGGAGTGGGAGGGGTGTTTACTTTCCTGTAGCATTAAATATCTTTTAAACTACAGATTTAACTAAACCAAAATGTAGTTTTGATCTCAACTATCACTGTAAAAATGTATTCTCAATGTATAAATAAAGGTTGACTGTCTGACTGACTGACTGACTGAATGAATGAATGAATCAATGAATGAATGTATTCTGAACAAAAGAGCTGATCGCATTAATTTATCTGGAGTGCATGAAGACCAACCTCCCCCCTCAAAGGACATATTCTGACAATAATTAAATAAAATTTCAGACATTGAGCTAAAAATTGGTGTAGGAGCTGTGTCGTTGACAACACGTGCTCTGAGCTATGAGAAGTCATGTGACATTTTTGTTTAAAACTTTTCCAATAACTGTTAAAGTCAACCTTATTTGTCTGTTAGCAAAATATGTTATGCACCACTGGACAGGTTATAATGAAATTAATCCATTATCTTGAGACAACCAAGCTTGTTTTATCTTTTTATCTCAAGAAAACAAACATTATCTCGGGAAAACAAATGTTGTTTTCTCAAGATGACAAGATATTAGTAAAAAGTTTGTTCCACTCAAAACAGCAAGATAATGTTGGTGTGAAAATGATCGGTTTCAGTGTAACTCACAGTTTCATCATTCAGTATCACTGGTAGGCTATCTATAATGAGTTAATCAATGATGAATGTGCTTTGAAACATTTTCAGCTTAAATCAGTGGACAGCACAACAATACTGATTTCAAATGATGCACACTTTTGTTCAGCTTCAAAATCATTATAGTCATCACAAGAAATTACCTTTTTAATATTTCTCAAGAAACAATTTAGAACAATTCAGTTTATATCACCAGCTCAGAGCCATCTCGGTACACTGTATGAAAAGATCATGTCCAAATTATACAGATCCAATCCAGACAGGTTCTGATTCATTTACAGTCAATTTAATCCTAATACAATATATTCACATACAGTATATTATAAAAAGCCAATTAGTTCAATTCATCCATCCATCCATCATCTTTTACCCGCTTCTTCCATTTTGGGTAACGGGGGTCGCCGGTGCCCATGTCCAGCAATAACTGTACGAGGGGCAGGGTACACCCTGGACAGGTCGCAAGTCCATCACAGGGACACATAGCGACAAATGAGACAAACAATCATTCACTCTCTTAGTTCAATTTAATTTAATTGAATTCATTTTATTTATATAGCACCAAGTCACAACCGGAGTCATCTCAGTTCACTGAACAGAAACATTCATATACGGTATATATAAAGTAAGCTAACATTAATTATCTGCGCAGCAGACTGCTTTAAGGTTAACTCCATCGCAGAATTCTCATCTTAAGCAAGCATGAAGGCAACAAGGAAAAACTCCCTCATGAGGAAAAAACCTTTAGCAGAACCAGGCTCAGGACAAGCGGCCATCTGCTTCGACCGGCTGAGTTTGGTAGGAACAGGAAGGAGGAACAGATACACAATAGCAGGTTGAAAATCACATGTTAAGATAGAAATAATATCAAATGAAAACTATTCAGTTTTAACAATTCATTTTAAGAAATTAGATCAATTTGTACTCTAGTAGTCTAAGCCTATAGCAGCATAGCAAGCCAACCATAACTATAGGATTTATCAAAAAGGAAAGTCTTAAGCCCAGTCTTAAAACTGGACAATGTGTCAGCCTCACGGACAGAAACTGGAAGCTGGTTCCACAAGAGAGGAGCCTGATAACTGAAAGATCTTCTTCCCATTCTGCCTTTGGAAACTCTAGGAACTGCAAGTAAGCCTGCCTGTTATCCCTTAAAAAAGCCAGCAGTTTATGTTGAATCTTTACTTTGTCACAATCTTCCATCTTGAGCAACGCGTTGGCGACAATGGAAAGGAACAACTCCCTTTTACCAGTAAGAAACCTCCAGCAGAAAGAGGCTCAGGATGAGCGGCGGCCATGTTCTTTAGCATATAATATTGCTGCATTATAAGTATCTACAACTTAGGTTTATAAATCCTTATTGTGCTTACAGCGTAGTAACTTAGTCTGAAATGTTTAAAGTAACAACTCTAGATCAAATATATAGGTGGCAGATTTGGCTCACTATTTAGCAAGAAACTGGTCAGTTTTGTCACCCTTAATTAATGCATAATAAGCTGTTATTAATGATTTATAAAGTGTTTATGGAGGAATTAATAACGTCTCTATAAACTATTTATTAGCCATCTATTAGTGAAGCATATTGTAAAGTGGTACCCTTAATTTTGTCCATCTGCTTCATTTTAATTTGTATTTTTCCTATTACCACTTTTTAAGCTTTGGAGTAATCTTGTCGACAATTATTAAGTCTTAAGTAATAACAGAATACCAAGCAGATACAGAAGACACATCAAGTTATGTTTGTCACGCAGGTTAACACAAGGGTGAACAGAACAATTATGTTCAGGATGAGACGACGCGATTTATATCCGATTTATATATATTTATCCGGCCTCTACAGAAGCAGACATCGTTTTAAGAAAGAAAGAGTAAAACGTATAGAATATGTTCTGTATTTTACTTCATGTTTCATCACGGAAGTGTAAAATGCACTCTTGTGATTGGCAGAATGTGAAATCCCCGCCCCCAGCTGGGTACCAGTGATGCCCATATTTGGGCAGGGCGGGATGTCGGTCTGTGAGCGGAGCCAGTCAGCGCTGAGTAACGGAAGTGAGTCACGCTTACGGTAACGTTACGTCTCTGTTGCTGCAGCGGCACCAAGAACAAGGAAGCAACATGTGGCTGCCAACCATAATAACTTTGACAACACACCACACCACATAGTCAAGCAGGCGCGACAAGAAGAGGGAACTGACCGACTCAAGGGGATTCACCAACAGGACACTTTAATATTAACCGTGAGTACTACGTTTTTGTCATGTACTTGTTGGTGTTTTTATTCGGACAGAATTAGGCAAATAGGTTTTTTTAAGCGCTAAAATTTTGGGCAGTATCTTACATTTTAATGTAGTTTTCCAAACAGTCAAAAATATACACTTATATAAATTTAAAAAAATTACAATAAATTGATTTGTGTGAAGTTTCACAGTGTACAGAAATTACATCCGTAATCTGGTTTCTGCTAACTTTTTCTGGGTTTCCACTCAATCTGGGGGTTTCCACTAAAGCGTTTTTCCCCCTCCCAGTGCATCATAAGGTTTCCTCTGCCACAACATTTAGAAACCGAGAATACAGCCACTTATATATAT